AGGGTCTTTTGTTGGTCAAAAACTATGTAGTGGGGTCTTTCTCACCTCTTTCCAATGACATCTTTGGTCTAAGAGATTAAACCAAAAGATGGTGGTCTCTTAACTATGTTCCGGTGGTAAAGATCATTGGTGAAAATAAAGTTATTTTCATGCTTCATTCTAAGGGGGATGTTTGTCGAGCTTTACGTGCTAGATTTCCAAGAGTCCAAGGTAAACTTCTTTGCTCAGAGAGATTGTACATGGGTGAGACTTTGGGGTATTCCTTTTAATGTGTGGAAATTGTTTGTTATCAAGAGTATTGCTAATAATTGTGGTGAATACTGTGATTTGGATTGAATGTCCTTTGTAGGTGCCGACTGACACTCAGTCAGGGTTAATGTTTGGATGGTATTGGGTCAACCTCTACCACTATTAGTTTAGCTCCGGGTAAAGAATGATACTTTTGACATTAAAGTGGTGGCTGATGATGGTATGGTTCGGTCTTACCCTGAAAAAGAGGTGTTGCCGTCAAAGATCGTGGTGGAGGGGTTGAAGACAGGGTTAGTGGCGAAAGACGTGAAGTAATGTTTGAGCTGTAATGGGGGAGATGCTTAGCACAAAATATTCATGTTGCTAGGACTCCTTATGGCCGTCACTGAAATTGACGCTGAAGGCAGCATTTCAAAAAGAAGAAGAAGAGCGGCAAGATTTTGAATTTGCCTAATTCAAATTTGGAAAGGAAATGGGCTCCGGTTGGATTATTTCTAGATTTTACTATAAATTATTCGAGGGAGTTGCCATACATTGAAACTACAGGCGCTAATACTTCGGGAGTAGTACCTGCCTCGAGTCCACCTAATGCAGTAGTTATTACTATTTTCAGAATGCTTGATGGACCACTTCTTGGGGAGGAACCAGCTAATTTTTAGGGTAAGACGGTATACAAATTTGGATATTATAAAAGTTGGGTTCACAAATTCGGGTGGTCTCATGGGTTCACCAATTCCATGGGTTGTTAGTTGTAAATCTAAAGGCTTGAACGACGATGCTGTTTTGCCAAATAAGATAGGTGGGATTACCATGGAAGGCGGTGCCTCTTTGAACATGGCACTATCCTCAAGTCCTAAGGTGAATCTCCATGATGACCTGCCTTTGGAAAGTGATCGTGAGACTTTACAGTGGATTTTTTGCAACTGCATATTTCCAATATTAAGAAGCAGTCTTTTTGGAAGTCGGTGGAGGAGAAAAGGTTATTTGGTTGTTGTCTCATTTTTCTCTTCTTTGCAAAGAAAGGAGTATTGCTGGACCTGGTTCTTAAAGTTTAGGTTGTCGTATGGTTTTTTTGGCAAAAGAAAGTCATGTATCCCCTGCCTTATCGATGTGCTACTATTAAGAGTCAACCTCCTAAGGCTAGTGCGAGCTTTGATCCGCTTATCATTGACCCTCTTGCTGTGATGGTGGTGGATTCTGATGATGAGGATCCAGCTTTGGCTTTCGAAGACTAGGAGTTGCCTATGCAAATTGAGAGAGAGCAGGAAGAGGATATTTTGGTTGTTTCTGATATTGTTCACCCTCGGAGAGTAATTCCCCATTTGGAGGCATCCCCTCTATAACTTTTGGGGGGACCATCTATAACTGCTGACTCTGTATCAGAAGTTGAGGTTTTTTAGTCTAATTTTACCGATATTGACCCTAAAGAACCGAAGGTTGCATCTATGGTTTATAATATGGATATGGATTTTAATATCCCCGTTGGGGTATTCTTCGATGTGATGAAACAGATTAAGAAGGCTAGAAGGATTGTGGATTCAGGAGAGAATTGCTCACAACAGTGAGAGGAGGTCTGAGAAAACCCCTATCATCGGCAATGCATCTAAGCATAAGACGTTTTCTTCTTTGGCGTCGAGGTCTTTAGCTCAGCTGGAGCCCGTGACATCATCAAGTGCACTGCGAAGCCAAAAGTGTCTTTGGGTGAGGAACCAAAAATCATTGATCTTTTGGAGGTCTTCTCTACTTCTCATGTTTCAAACTCTTCGGAGTTGTCGGATTCTATTGTGTTCAATGAAGCCTCGATGCTTGAGGATCTCTATTTCGGAGCAGGTCCTGATAGGCCAGGTTCCACCTCTAACCCTCATTGTTAATGCATATTCTCTCATAGAATGTTAGGGGTCTTGGTGACCCTAGGCATAAGAGGGATATTTTATTATTAGTTTAAGCCCTGGATTTTAATTCTTCAAGAGACCAAACTCCCTAGTCCTATTGTTTCTAAGGCTAGGGAGGTCTGGGGTTCAGGGATTAGTTCTTTTTGTGGTATTGATGTTCTTCAAACTGTTGAAAATGTTTTTTGAGACAGATTATTACTTCTTGGCTTTCATGGTCCTATCCCAAGGTTCTCTTAGGGAATTATGAATGTATATGGTCCTAATGACTCTGCTCTTAAGGAAAGTTTTGTTAATGATATGGATGAAGTGATTCAGAAATTTCTTTTCCCTTTGTGCATACGGGGGGATTTTAATCTTATTCGGTGGCCAAATGGGGTTAACACCATTTATATAGCTCTTATCCCTAAAAAATCAGTTATAGGAGTTATTAGATATTAGGCACATCAGTCTTCTGACCAGTCTTTATAAGATTGTGGCAAAGGTCTTACCTGAAAGATTGAAGTCAGGCTTACATTTTCTCATCTCTAACACTCAATCTGCTTTTATTCAGAATCGTCAAATCATTAGAAAGTGTTTTGGTAACTCAAGAGTGTATTCATTATAGAGTGAGAAGTAAAATTTCTAGAGTCATTATTAAACTTGATATGGAAAAAGCATATGACAGAGTTGAATGGGGGGTGCTTACGAAAATTCTCAAGAATATGGGTTTTGAGGCTAAATGGAGGAGTTGGATCTGTGGATATTTATCCTCTGCCCATTTCTCAATACTTTTTAAGGGAATCACTATTAGTTTCTTTAAGGCGTCCAGTGATCTTCGCCAAGGGGATCCCATGTCACTGTTCCTTTTTTGATGATTCATAACGTAAAAACTTGTGGGAATTTCACTGGTTTTAAAGTGACTGAGATGGGTCCAAGAGTTTCTCATTTGCAATACGTAGATGATATACTTAATTTTTGTGAAACAGATGAGACGCAAGTAAAAAACATTGCTTGATTTTTAGATTGCTACGAGGTGGCTTTGGGATTGAAAGTCAATTTCCATAAGACCTTAATGATAGATATTAACGCCCTCCGGCCTTGATTCAATATTTGGCAAATCTTTTGAGTTGCTTGGTGGGCTCATTCCCCTTTATTTATTTGGGAATGCCAATCTCAAATTCTAGGCACTCTATAGCGGTTTGGGATAAGGTGTTAGAGAAGTCCAAATGACGTTGGATATTTGGAAGTCGAAATACCTGTCTATAGGTGGTAAGGTTACATTGTTAAGTTATTGCTTAGCTAATTTACCAATCTACTTAATGTCTCTTGTTCAAATGCTATCCTCAGTGATAAAGAAAATTAAAATAGTATTGCGTAATTTTCTGTGGGGGGTCTTTTGGGGAAGAATGAAAGTATTACTTACTTAGGTGAGATCGTGTTTGTACCTGTAAGAGTGAAGGTGGTCTAGGCATTAGAAAGATAAAATATATGAATGAGACATTGCTTTGTAAATGGTGGTGGAGAAGTTTTTAGTATATATATCAGTTTTGGTTTCAGGTCTAATCTTTGAAATATGTCCTGGATAGGCAGGGAATGTGGTTAGGAGCAGGTGGAAATAGAGAGATGTCTTCTCTGTAGATGTCCATTTATAGATGTAGGCCAATGATTGCGAGTTATTTTCGTTGGAATGTTGGTTGTGGTGACAATATCTATTTTTGGTATTATAAGTGGATAGGTGATGCCCTTCCGAAGCTTATTTATCCGGAACCTTTTGCTAAGATTTCACAACCTAATGCTAAGGTTTCTGATATGGTTGAAGAGAGAGGTAATTGTGTTGCTTGGAGTATTAATTTCCCATATAATAGGTTGAGTGAAAATATTTATCTTTAATAGAATGATTTGATGGGTATCTTGGATTCGATTTATATTTCTCCGGGGACAATAGATGAAGTGATTTGGGAAGTTGAATGCAGTTGCTGCTTTTCTTCTTTTGTTTCAATCTTGGGAGTTTTGGTCTCCTAAATTCTTTTAAGCATTTTGAATCAGTAGAAATTAAAATTTTAGAAAATCTAATCAAATTTTGGCCCATTTAGTTCTAGATTCTATATTACTTCTTTTTTTTCTTTCCTTTTTTCTTTTTTCTTTTTTTTAATAAACACCACTGAATTTTTACATTTACTTGTTCTCTATTTCTGTTTGTTTTTTCCTTTTTTTCCACAATACTTTTGTCACCTAAAACGACTAATCCGGGGCATGAAATCGAACCTTCCCTACTTGTAACAGCCTCCATTCTTCAAGATGCTTAGTTTTCCATAGCCACCTGAAAATCAGGCTTTGAATTCCATAAAAAACTTGTTTAGCTTCACTAAACAAACATATGAATGAGCCAAGCAACCACTAAGACCATATGCAAGCCTATCGTAATAACCATTTGCAGGTTTATTGGGTACAAGGGTGGCAATGGCTGGGTGGCCTGGCCCGGTCTGCCCAATCATAAAAAAAACTAGAGCCGGGGCCACAAAATGTGCTCGCGACCCGGGGCCAAGGCCCAGTAACCAAAAAATGGTCAACTACTCGCTTTGATTGTTGGCGACTTCTATCTAGTTGCAAACATTGTTGCCTATAGGAAAAAAGAAAAAAATCTATTTAATAAGATAAAAATTCCGATGAACGTTCAAAAACAAAAATAGAAAAATTCTGATATCCCCTGTAACCACATCGGGACAATCCTAAAGATCGCCTTAAAACATCTAGGGATGAGCAATTAAGTTTTGCATAGGATTTCTCTAACAAATAAAAACACCGTGGAAAAATTAAAAATAAAACACACAGCAAATTAGAAATGAATCCAAAGGTAAATGCTGAGAAGAATGCTGTTCACACATCCAAACACCTATAACTAAAATACCATAAGGTATGATGGCTATATTACATGATCCACAAAGCTAATTTTCCATTATTTAAAATTAAAAAAAAAAAAGGCTATCAAAATTATTCACAGAAAGTCCATAGATCACAATTAAACATTTTTCAACCACAAGGGATTCCTGCTTGCGTCCCATTAAAACGTGCGGACCCACTTATTATCTCTATATCCAATTCCGGCTCTACTCCGGCAACTGCTGTGGGCTGCCTATTAAAATCTTGAGGGTAAACCATGTAACTCCATCCATCCATTCCAACGATGGTGAGATTTCCAGCCGCCTGTTTTGGCCGGAAAACCAGTCGAAGCAGTTTGTTTAGAGATCTTGAAATCCTCGAACTCCTCTTTCTCTCGACACAAGCCTCCCTCTTTTCACCCCAGGAAACATCAACCGAAAAGTTGGATTCAACGGAACCTTGCTGGCGCATTTCATCGGCAAATTGAGGATGTTGGCTGGAAAAATGCGGCATGGAGTAACTTCGAGAAGCTATGGCCGAATCAAGCTGGCGCTTAAATGACTTGAGCTCAAAGGAATCATAGAGAGCGCTATCACAGTCCCAGATTGAAGCTTTCTTCTCCACTTCTTCTTTGGGACTTGGCTCCTCTTCTTCTTTGGGCTTTGGCTCCTGCTCCTTATGGTGCTTTGGCTCCTGCTCCTTATCGTTCACCATGGTTGTAGGTTCTGGCTCCTGCTCCTTATGGTTCACCATGGTTGTAGGTTCTGACTCTTGAGTTCCCATTTTATTTGGGTGGTGGTGTTACAAAACTTTTTGAGAGGAATTTGGTGATGGAGAGGTGACTTTTGATGGCGTCTGCGTTTATAGAGACGCTTCAATTTCCGTGGTTTACGCTTCCCAAGTGTATGATCTCCTTTTCAAACGCGGTTGTGGGGTGGGAGGATATTCAAGGCTCCATCACGTCATTATATCAATTTTTTTATGGTGCCGTTTGTATAGAGCTGAGGCTCTAAAAATCAAGGTAAAGCGCACTTTCAAATAGTATAAAAAAACGTTGTTTCAATACTGAAAATCTTTGTGATAACCATAAAATATAGTTTGATCTTTAATTATAAAATTTAAAACTTCAAAAAATAGAGAAGATCTAGCAGATCTTTGAAAATTTAAAAATCTTAAAAATTAACAGTCCAAAAATGCATTACAAGATGCACTATTTTCAAATTTTGAATTCATTTTGTTTCTCATGTCTATGCATCTTGATATTAATATGATCAATTTGAAGATATTTGAGCATCAAAACAACCTCTTCTAATGCAATTTTTGAGGTGGGCTCTACTTTGATTGTTTAGAGCCTCGACTCTATACAAACTTTTTCCGTTTTTTTATGGGAAGCATATAATGGGCAAGTAGTGTATGGTACGCGTGGGACATTTACGGTTCACTTAGGAATTTTGGGGTTGGACGGTGATCGGTAGTTTAACCTAGAAAAAATAATCACGCCTTGGATTTGTTTGCTTCATTTGAAAGAATTATGAACAATGAGACTATTTATTTTTCATATAAGAAGGCCACAACCACTATTGTCCATTGGATATGAAATCGGGTGATTAGGGATAAGTCATTGATTGGATACAAAGACCAAAATAAAAACTTTTATAACACAATTCAATCTTTTGGATTTTACATCTAATGGATACAAATGATTGAGACCTCATCATACCAAAAGTAAATAGTCTCATAGTATACAATCCCAAAGATCACAGAGTTTGATCCGGTAGGACAATCTGTCCCCTTTGTTTATTTCACTAGATCGCAGTAGACATTGTAGTGGCCTATAAGACTCTTCATGCTTAGTTTGCCTCTTTTTTTTTTTTGAACCGTAATGTACGACGTATCATTGATTCAAATGTAAAATACAAGATGTTCATGGAAAGACACATGATTAATGTCTCCATGCTTAGTTTGTCATGAAAGTGTTTTCTCAAATAACAAGAATCCCGAGCTTGGAATGAACTCAACCAAACCCTAGAAAGCGGTTACCAATCGAATAAAGGTGCTCCTCGAGTTTACATATTCTTTTTTTTTTACCAATGTTCAGAACTTTATTGATATTCTAAAAGGAGATTACATCAAAAGAGACAATAAGAGAGTCTAGGCCAACACCCCCTTTAGCAAAATCATCAACAATCCCATTAGCCTTCCGAAAAATATGGGAGAAAGAAATGTGTAAGGAAGCTAAAATATCTAAGACTTGAACCATAGAGATCAGAGTTCCCAAGGAATTGACAGCTCTTTCTTGCACCATTTTATTGCATTCAAAGAATCTCCTTCAACGATGCAATTAATGCCCACTTACGGTGCTTAAAAATAAGTAAACCTCTGAGTAAGGCACTCATCTCAGCAAGCTTCGATGTTGCCCTCATTTCTTGTTATTCATTTTTTTGTTCAAAATACCCCAAACTCAAGAGTCCACGTTCCATATGTGGTGTTTCCTTTCGTGTCCGAAGTTGGGTTCTAAAACTTCCAATTCAAACGAATTTTTGGTAAACCAACAAATTCAGAAGTTCAAGAACCATTCTTGTTGGTTAAATAAATATTTGGCTCCCTTACATTTCTTGTGAATGTTCGGTTCGAAAATTCATGTTTTAAGTTAGCTATCGCTCCTGCAAATTTTCCACGTTTCTTGACCCTTTCTCATTCTCCCTCTCGCTCTCACATGCACTCTTCCTTATATTATATCCTCTCTATATCTTATGCACTCTTTTTCGTCTCTCCTCTAATCATAGTAAATTATATATTAAAATAAAAATATATATATACAAATCTTCAAATTCTAAACAATAGAAATAAACAAAAAATCAAGAGATCTTCAAGCCTAAAGTTGCGAGCAAAGCGAGTCCCTTAATGACAGAGACGAGGAGAGAGACCGCTTAAGAGTGTGTGCAAGAGCGGAAGAGAGAGAGTGTATGTGTCTGGGGTTCGGGAACGGCAGAAATCCAGAGCAACGAGTGTTAAGGGCAGTTTGCAACTTCAAGTTTGAAACAACTCAATTTAAAAAAAAAAAAAAAAATGCAAGTATATTAATTTAGAAATTTTTAAAAAAATGATAAAAAATACCTGTGTTTTTTAAAAGGGTTTGGTCTATGTAAGGTTGCAACCTTAAACAATCAAATTAAGGCGCAGTTCCAAACTATGTCATAAGATGCAATTTTGGCGCCGAAAATTCTTGGGATGACCTGCAAATCTATTTTCATCTATAATTATGAACTTTTGAACTCCAAAAATAATTCAAAACAAATAGATATATAAAACACATAAAAATGTTGTAAGAAAATAGTCCAAAAAATGTATTTCATGTACTATTTTTAGGATTTAATTTTTTTTTTCTTTTATATCTATACATATCAAAGTTGAGATGATCAATTAGATAGTTTTTCAACATCAAATCAACCCTTTTCGATGGAAATTTGAGGTGTGTACCTTAATCATACTATTTAAGGTATCAAGCTTATATAAATTTTTTCCTATTCAAAAATATTTTTAATGTATGCAAAAATTACATCCATACCTAATAATGTTTTTGTTTACTCAAAATTTCTTTCATATCCCTAATAGGGCTGTGACGTCATAGGGACCTCCTATGGTGCTTCCCTTGGACATTATGGCTCCATTAAGCCATGATACATCATCATAGACCCATGGCACACCATTGGGTCTCTTGGATGCTTTGGATGCACCAAAAGAGCTCAAGGGTGGTATCTTGGGCATCACGGTCCTATAGGACTATGATGGTGTAGGGCTTTGATGCCCAAAGAAAGCCTTTCTACTCAAGTTCTCTGAGTGAATTTGGGGTCTAAAATAATAATATTGAGTGTGAAAGTAATTTTTCAAAAATACTGATATTTTTATTTTTTAAAAAAATAAGAATAACTTTTGACAATTTTTGTACTTCAAGTTCCAAACCAAACTCCAAATTTAAAAACTCAGTTTGACACTTGGAGTTCCGAATTAATAAATAAACGAGCAAAGAGTGTGCATTTAATACCACATAAAATAATAGCTACTGTCTTAAATGACCCTTAAATTATTGTAGTAGGAAATGGTTTTCACGATGTGACAGGTGTGTCGCTTGTTAGTACCGACACCGGGTTTTATGTAAAATGAGATATGACCAGGTCTCATTTTCTACATTCTATTCGCTTTCTTTGATTAAGGCCTGTGTTCACCCCAACTAACCTAAAAAATATTTTAAAATGAAAATGGTGACCATAAGGTAAAGCTTAGGCATCACCTCATTCGCGTTCCTTCCTTGCTTCGTCAGGGCCATTGTTTGATTATTAGTTTTTATTAATTTCGGATGGCTTTGGACTTTGTTTTGTGAAATTTATGAAGAGACTTTGAAATTTTGTGCTTTCATGGCGGCTAGAGCTATAATTATTATCCGGATAGAATTTGAACTTTATTTAGCGAAATTTATGGAACAGACATTAAAAATTTTGTTCTTTGATGGTGACTTGAGAGCTGAGATATAACTATTATGTATAACATATTTTTCAAAGGGAATAATCATGTGGATTATGGATACAAAGTACAAAAGGTTGGGATGATGTTAGATCCCAACCATTTCAAGGGGAATAATCGTGTGGATACAAAACTAGAAAAGGTTGGGATGATGTTACATCCCAACCCTTAGATAAAGACAAATCTGGGGGTTGATTCTATCATTTGCCATTTACAACTTCACCCATTTTCGTACTTCCAATTATATGACTAGTTTACTACAATAATTTCAAAAATGCTCCAAGCTCATTTTATCATAGCCAATAGACTTAATTTTGATAATTGAGGGATCAAGCTTATGAACTCTACTATAAAGCTATGGGAGAAAGTGATTGAGCAATGATTAAGAAATGAAACGAGTGTATCTGAAAAGCAATTTGGTTCTATGTTAAGAAGGTCAACTACTGAGGTTATTTTCTTACTGAAGCAATTGATTGAGCAGTTTAGGGCAAAGGGAAAAAACCTCAACATAATTTTTGTTGATATAGAAAAAGCTTATGATAGAGTACCTTGAGATTTCATTTGATGGGTGATGGAAAAGAAACGAGTCTCTAGACATTATATCGACTTGGTGAGAGATATGTACAATAAAGCATTAACTAGTGTATGAACAACTAGTGGAGAGACAATTGAGTTTTCAATGACAATAGGTCTACATCAAAGGTCAGCATTGAGCCTCTACCAGTTTGTCTTAGTTATGGACGACTTAACTAGACAGCTATAAGATAAGGTACTGTGGTACATGTTGTTCGCAGATGACATAGCTTTGATTGATAAGACCCAAAATGACGTCCACACAAAGTTAGAACTTTGGAGGGATACTCTAGAATCCAAATGTTTTAAAATTAACCGGACTAAGACTGAGTATATAGAATGCAAGTTTAGTAATAATAGGAGTAGAGATGATAATCCAGAAAAATAGAGAGATTGAGGAAGATATCGCACATAGAAATAGAGCTAGGTGTGCAAAGTGGCGATGTGCAACTGAAATTTTATGTAATTGCCGCATACCAATAAAGCTAAAGAGAAAATTCTATAGGACACCTGTGAGATCATCTTTGCTCTAAGGGGTAGAATGTTGGGCAGACAAAAAATAATATACTCATAGAATGAGTGTAGTGGAGATGACGATGTTGAAATAAGTGAGTTACAAGATAAGAAGAGATATAATTTGAAATGAATCCATTTGAAAGAATTCAAGTGTGACACCAATAGGAGATAACATGAGAGAGAGTCGACTTAGGTTAGGTGGCCATGTATGGTATCAAACAAATACAACAACTGTTAGGTAGTGCGAGTTAGTTCAAGTGAAAGGATTGAAAAGTGCAAGGGGTAGGCCCAAAAGGATATAGTTGAAAATAGTCTGAAAAGATATGAGCGCTTATGGATGAACGATGGGGAGAGACTCTGATGGGAATATTGCATTGGGAGAGGA